TCGCCCCAAGCTACGAACTCGTCAAAGAGACAAGTTCAATTGGTCGACTTGTCTCTTTGACGAGTTCGTAGCTTGGTGCGGCGAATGGCAAAACTCACTGATGATGCCGGCTACGATGCCGGCGAAACGTTTGAGAATGTATCAAGTCGACTGTCAGATGCTGGGAATCATGACAACTACTATGGCAGACGACTTCGGGGTGCGTTCTACCTGGTCTCCCTGAAAACAAGACCAAGTTGCGACAACGAGGTCAACCCACTTCTATCAAACATGGCCCCTGACAACAAGACCAAGTTGCGACAACGAGGTCAACCCACTTCTAAAGTAAATTTTGTTGTCAGGGCGGAGACCAAGTTGCGACAACGAGGTCAACCCACTCCTTTTCAACATAAAGTTGACTCATTATTCAGACCAGGCTGGTATAAAATAATATGTACATGAGGTAAACACGTGTTTTATCACTAAAAACTGGGTTTTAAGGAATTCCTTGGTTATTTATTGTAGCATGACTTTCCATTTCGAAGGAAATGTTGGTTGGAAGAAATTCGTTAAATTGTCTCACCGTAACTCGAAGGAGTATTGACTTTGAGTTAAGTTAAGACTTTTGGATTCTGCAAATAAGTCCACAGCTCACCGTCCTATGACATTGATGAACCTATGTTAGGGTGTATAAAAAAGTGGATTGAGTCGGTTTAGTATGTTGGTGCACTGTTTTGTGAATTACAGTTTATTGCTCTCGCGATGCCTATCTCGGCGGTACAGACGGAAGCTTCTTCGGAGCCACATGATGGTGAGCCGAGTACTTTTTCGAACCTTTCTTTATTCCGCCGCAATCCTCATTCCGTTTCCGAAGCAAACAATTCACGAAGTCCTTCCAACCAAGTTTTCTTTCTAAATGGATAATCATGTTACAGCAAACATGTGTTTTGTCCATATAATTAACTATGCTACTTATATTCAGATAAAGTAGATTCCTAAAGGATTTGTAATTCTTAAATGAGGGTTCAGATTAAACGTAATTTTATAGTGACGCATAATCATTTCATTGTGTGGAATTGCGATATTACACCGTAAATCTTCCTATACAAACTAGACTGATTAAAGAGGTCATTCAAGAATTACGAACAACTTAGAAGCATACTCGCATACAAAATAACTATCACCCGGCTTTGCCTAAATAAAGTTTTACTTCTACAGCCTGGACTACGGTTCCGCCTCATCGAGAGCTGAGCAACTTGAGAAAAATATGGTTCAAGTGTCGAAACGTGATCACTCAGCCAATCAGCCACAAGCCACCGAAACTGGTGTCCGAAATGGTAGATCTAAATTGTAAAGTCAGTTAGGTATTTCTCGGATCGCATTTTCTAGTGGGATTGTCGATGCTGCAAACTTGTAGTTGTCATAAGTAGTCACCTGAGCTCGTTTAAAGTGATTTGACCACTTATTACTGAGTTTTCCCTCAATCTGATAAGTGGGCCTCATCAAGATGGTAGTGAATTCCACTTGGCCTCCTCCTTAAAAAATGGCTGACCGGACAGTATTCGAAGCCGATCGGGATTGGAGCCCAGGTCATGAGTATCAAAGCGGTGCTATCCACGCATTACACAGTTACGGGTTCCAGAGGTTAACATGGAAAATTACCGTATTTTCCGGCATATAAGACGACTTTTCACACCATAAATTTCTGCTCCTAAGTGGGGGCTCGTCTTATACACCAAGTGTAATTTAGGGATCGTTAATTAGAATATGGTTCCGAGCTCCTGTTGTGCCCCTTACCTTTTTACAAAATCTATATTTTTTTACTTGAAAAGTCAGGGGTCGTCCCTTACGCCCAGTCGTCTTATACGCCGAAAAATACGGTAAACCTCAGCCATATCACATTTTTATAGAAAATATCAATTATGAAAACATGCATTTGCCATTAGATTAAACGATACTACTTATTTTGAGAGTTAGTAGTTTGCGATACTATCAGCAATATTTGAATAAGAACTTATCCTAGGTCGCTTAAGCTGCTCTAGGGATTGATAACTAAGTGATCAAACTTGAGGGCGCTATTCACTGTAGTTTAGCAGTATCTCCTCAAAAGCATTCCGAATATTCTAGAAAAATACTCACGTTAATCTATACCTGCAAAACGGGTCCAAGCCTAGAATCTCCTTGTTGAGCTTACTTAAATTTCGAGAGAAAGTGGTTGGTGAAGAGATTCGAAGGTCGATTCCACGAAAAGACGACGGCGGATTCCTCTTGACCAGCTGTCGATTGGCTTTACCGACGCTGTTTCCGAGGCAATCTTCTTCGATTCAGGTGAAAAGGTGCTAAGCTTTCGTCCGTCATACGACGAACATCATCAGAGCGAGGTATCATCGTCACAACCATCAAACTTTGCTGGTCGAGAACACGTTATTTTTGCTGTTATAATTGCTTGGAGCCATCACTGCTGGTTTCATACATTTGTGAACACATGCAGGCATATACACATACAGAAACAGACACACTCCCATGCTTTGAGGTTGACATATGACTGGAACTAACTAAATCAGTTTATACCTCATCAAAGAGGTCAGATAAAGACGTTTAAGTGGGTTTTCTTGACGCGTTAGCTTGAAGTTGACTGTGAGGATGATACCCTACTCTGATGACGGAAGAAAGCTTAGCACTTTTTCACCGGACTCGAAGAAGATGGCCTCGGAAACAGTGCCAACATGAATGTTCCAGTAAAGCCAATCGACAGCTGGTCAGGAGCAATTCGATGTCGTATTCTGGTGGAACCGACCTTGGCAACTCTTCACCGCACACTTTCACTCGAAATGGAAATAAGTGCAACAATTAGGAAACAAATGAGTCCTCACAACCCAACTTTTCTTTGCATAAAATCTCCGTGACTCGTGGTTGATAGTTAGCGAGTGAGTGGAAGAAAGTGAGTTGTCAATTAGCCTGACCAGAAACCAAACGAGGATTGATTTGCAGTTTCAGCAGCTAAAATCTTGAAGCGTAGACATAGGCCCAGAGTCTGGCGACCCCGATGAACCCGTGAAGAGCTTTTGTCTGTCGTTTTGTGATAGACATCGTCAGGGCGAGAAACATATATTTTCGAAAGATTCATCAAAACATAACACCAAGAAAGTTGTCTGTTCTCTGCTTTGTACATGATGATTTCTCGCTCCGACGATGTCAACAATGCCAGAAAAGACGACAGTTCGGCATGAATGGATCGGATCCAGCTATTCAAGACGCCAAATCCAATGTCCTCTTTCGGTTTCTGATGCGACCAAATTACGAATCTATTTCAATCAAATGAAAAGCACGTCAAAGTCATTCCAGTTATGGACTCTTCGAACATCAAACTTCTCTCGATTGCACCCTTTACGCGCTTGTGCGCATGACGATGTAAAAGACAAAAGTCATGCAATGAAATGTTCTGCCATTTGTGCAATTATCCCATGGGAAAGTTGTAAACAGGGCTCTGAGCAGGCCGTGATGATGCGCTTCTGCGGGAGAGACTCGAGGACGCTTGCAGTTGACTGACGTCCGCTCCACTTGGCGCCAGACTTGGACCAGCCGACGTGAGCTCGTCGAACACATAAAAGGAGTACAGAAAGTCCGAGTCCAAGTGAGCCGGCTTGTCGGGCGCGAGAGGATTGTCGCTGGCATTTGGTGCCGTCTGAGGCCGCGGAATCGGAGGCAGGGGTCTTTGGGGCTCGGGTCTGCCGGGCCAGGCGAGTCCCGAATAGGCGAACTCTGGAGGCCATGCGTGGCAAAAGTGGGAGTAGTGGGGCTCGCAAGAGGGCGAGAGGGAGGAGGAGGAGGAGGAGTGTGAGGAGGAGTGTGAGGAGGAGTGTGAGGAGGAGGAGGAGGAGGAGGAAGAGAGAAAAGGAGGAGAGAAGAAGGAGTCGGAAGAGTGCCGGAAGGCCGAGGCCACGCTGTTGTTGGGCGGGGACAGAAGGGGGGGGATAAGCGAAGAGGAGAGCGCCCGAGGGTAGACTGTCGGGCGGGTCAGGCTGAGTGTGTTTCGGTGCAGGCGCCGCTTTCTACGAAGCATCGCAGACGCGCTGGCGAGCAGTCCGCGCCAGCCGAACCGTCGGTCGCCGGCGTCTTTGCTGCCCTCCGAACCGGCACAACTCGACGGATTGGCTGCAATTGCAGTCACGTTTGCCGAGGCGGTGGCCGACTTCGGAACCTGAGTTCGAGTCCCGGCTTTGGTCAGGTCTCTTGAGCCGATTCGATCGTCAATGAGCACGGCCTGAAAGAGCATTGCAGCCAGCGGCTCGGTGAGGAGGCCGCGCGCGACCGCGGCCTCGAGGATGCGTAAGACTCGTTTCAGACTGGCCATAAATTCCTCCTCCTCACAACCGTCCTCATGTACCGGCTGCTGTGGCAACGAAGCCGACTTGTCGTCGGCCCGCAGGAAGGCGAGCAAACTGGCGAGTTCGAGGCCGGCACACGCCTCGGCGGAACATGAGCTTTGCATTGCCTCCGACGGCATTACATGTGGCAACTGACTCTTCACAGTCCACAACATATACATATATATATATATATATATATATACATATATATACACATACATACATACATACATACATACATACATACATACATACATACATACATACATACAT